AAAAAAAACAAAGGAAAAGTACAAGGATGTAGGTTTTAAGAAATAATAGTAACAACAATGAAAAAACACACACACAAACAAGTTGCAAAATGAATTACAATTAGCAGGGGATGTAGAAAGCAATAGGTTAAGTAAAACACCAGTACAAAAAAATGACAGAAAAAGGGGTAGGTCTACCACTTGATTGAGAAAAATATATATATATGAAGCTAATATTTCCAATCTTTCACTGCTTCAGCTGACACAGGAAAGAACAGCTGTGACAGTATTTATGAACACAAACTTTATGAACATGATAGAAAAATGGGTCAGTTTTTTAAAATTCTTATTTTCCCATTTAATAAGTCTTCACATTGACAAGGCTTAATCATTATGTCTCCTCATTAAGGCATGCAACTTCATCACCTGAAGAAAGACCATTTTTTTGTGAACTTGTACAAACTACAAGAGATAAGACAGAAAGAACATGATTGCCAGGTATGTATTTTCTCAGGCCTGACTTAGAATAAGATGGAAATTTTTTCATTGCTGCTTTATAAGCCAGTCAGTAATTCTATAAAAATAAAGATCCTGAAACCTTTATGGTTAATCTCACTATAATCGAGGCTCCACCAGAACTATAATTTTCCAAGCCAGGTGTTTTAATATATATGTTATAAAATGCATCAAATTTTCCTCATGGTCTCATTAAATATCAGAAATTCGTTTCTGCAAACTACAGTATTTGTGTAAATTTATCTAATATATTCAGCTTAGGCAGTCTCCAATTTCAAACCCTTAATCTCTATTTTGACTTATGCCACCATTTAGACTATTTGCTGCATTAACTCTCACAGGATTCAGAAAAATCATCTCTCCCCCCTCTGAAATCATTAAAATATCTTAAAAAAGGAAATTGCCAAGTGATTTCAAGAGAGAAAGAAATTTCAAAATACAGTTCAGCCTACTTGAAAACAAGACTTGGTTGTTCTTAACTCTAACAACTCCCATGTTTAGACAGATTGTTTTCTTTAAAAAACAACAAAAAAGTGAATTAAGAGTACTCAGCTTGACACAGGTTTCAACTACAAAACTAACATTTGGCTAACAGCAGAATTTTGCTTATGCTTCCAGCAAGTAACACAGCAAATTAAGAGAATCCCCAAGCAGTTATCCACTTGGCATTCCTCTGAGAGGCAATCTGAAAGGAAGAACAGACTGCAGATTGATGGGCAATTGCATGAATTAGCTCCATTTCCTTAGAGTGGGGTAAAATTTGCTCCCTAATGTAATGGAAGAGCTAGAGAGATGTGAAGAAAAAAAAAGAGGAAAAAAAAAAGAGGCTGCAAAATCTACAGAGATCTATCATAGCTAAGGCTATTAAGAAACCTTCTATTGGGGATCTGACATTCTTCTGAGACACTCTTATTCAAGGTATATTCAATCCCATATCAATGAGACAGACAGAAATTGCCAGAGCATCCTCTTTGATAGTCTAGGGCTAGCACCAAAGTAAGAAAAGAGAAGACAGTTTAAGGACACAGCTTAAACTCTGGCTTCTAAAGTGGAAAAAGGATGGATGAGTCTTGTGTCACTGTCGCATCTATATGAGAAAATGATTAAAAAGTAGAAGCATTACACTTTGACCAGAAATCAGAAAAATATCCTAGAATATAATTATGTTTTACTTATGTTACCCTATTTTAACTCTTAAAAAAAAAAAAAAGTTTTAAGAAGGTTAAGAGTTTTCTAACAGAAAAATTCTGTTAAAAAGCAGCTTGTGAGCAAGCATCAGACTAGCTCTGGCAGCCGTTCTGACCCAGAGCCACGGCCCCTCGGCCCCGCTCACCTCTGGGATCAGCCGGTCTAGGTGCTCAGCTCTGTTTTCATGCGAGGGGTGTGTGGAGAGCCACTCCGGTATCTTGGGCTGCCCTTGGATGGTTTCTGCTAACTCCATCTGCTGCCAGAACACACTGCTGGCCCGGACATCCACACAAGCCTGAAAGCAGAGAGGCAATGTATGCAGCATTATGTTTTTAGGGTACTAGAATACACGTGCTAAGGAATGACAACAGACATCTCAGACTGCAGATCTGCAAAACCTCTTCAGATAGTTGACCTTGTATAGGATGAAAAAAGGCTACTCTAAAATACTACAATACAGTAAAAACTCTTCCACATAGACACTGGAACAGTTCCTTCTAACGTCTATGTAATTCCACTGATTGAAGAAAAAAAGAATCAGTTCACTCAAACTTCAATCAGTTCCACAGTTTCCAGCATTTATGCTAGAAATACCATTTATTATCAAAAGAGAAACTAAGGGCAATATTGCTAAAGAGCAATAATGTTTTCCCATGGTTGTGCATGAGAAATGATTCCCAGAGATGTTTGTAAATAGCAAATGCAGTTTCAGTATCAGAATTAAATTCATTTTAAAACCATCCTATAGTTTGAAGAAATATCAATAATTCTATTAATAAAATCTTCCTTATGAAATATTAACACTAGAGGGTGCTGCTCTCATAGTTATCTATCTAACATTTTTTTCTAGCTCTACTGCACTTAGCTAGACCTGATAGATTTGTTTTATTTATTTATTTAATTGAACTAAAATCCTCATGGATGAAAACGGTGACCAAAGAAATGGACTCGGAAAAAAGCACCAAGTAGTTTCAGACCAGATTTTACTTTTACTTTAGCAAAGTCATATTACTTCAGTGTTGTATTTGAATTAAAACACCAGAAAAAAAGCTATATGCTTTGTAATTATCATCACAGAAAATATAATTGCAATACATAGAAGTTCTTTATAAAAATAGACATTATAGATCAGAATATTTTAAGTTTATATTAAATCATTCCTCCAAAGTGCTTGTAACAGATATTACTTGAATGACAAAAATTATGTGGCTTTTTCTTCTTTATAAATATGTAGCTTTTTCTTCTAATAGTAATACACCATGTAAGAAGGTATCCTCTGCAGTTAATAATGCTCGATCTTACAAATTTCAATTTTGATACATACAATTTAGCCAGAATGCCTTCATCTTTCCCTTATGACCTCTTCTATTTTCCTGATATTTCATAAACCTGCATTTGTTTTGATTTGGGAGATCCTGAAATGAATGATCTTCCATATGAAGTGTGGAACTCACTTTAATTACAATGGAACTGAAAAATGTCTGGTAAGCTCCTGCTAAAACAAAGCACCTGTATTTACCTTTGCTGCAAACCGAAGTCCCACTTTATCAGCTTCGGCTTCCAATGTCCTGCTGTAGGGTCTGTCAAAAATAAACTGAAAGGAACACATCAAAGTAGTATTTCTTGGTTTGGGGCATATAGAGAGCAAGTAGCATTGTAGCTGTGTTTCTAGTCTTCTTATAAGCTGCAGCATTTATCTATCATACTAATATTGCAATTGGTCAGTATTAATTTTTCTTAATTCAAACTTTAATTCCATTACCCACAATGCACTGATCCTGTATTCAGTGGAAATGAATTAAAATTATATTTTTAAAGCCTCTATCACCAAGTTTCATAGCATTTTGCATGACTTAAAGAGAAAATGCCAACTTTAAATTAGTTAATTCAAAACATTAACAGTAAACATACATTATTGATCAGAGTTTCATTATGCACAAAATAGAAAAATTTCACTTCACACTTACTGACATTGTTTGAAATTTTAATTGTAGCAATTTATATTAAAAAACAATCAATGGCTTCTTTAAACTTTTATGATGACTTTCTTTAAACCTCTTAGGACTTCCAGATGCATGGCAGAGAGTCCCCACTATCAAACATAATCATAAATATTTCCATGCAGAAATGACCCCTCTTTCATGATTATACCCTCAAGTGGTAAATTACCCTTGAGAAATCCACCTAGAAGATATTCATCTGACCAACTTTTACCCCTTTTTCTGGGGGTTGACATTGTATTCATAGCCACTAAAGGCCATAAGTAATTATTTATTTGATAAAACTGCCTATGTAACACAGTATCTTTTGGCACATATAATTCACACAGTTTTGGACAACTCTGCCCTAGTCTAATAGGTTATAATAAAGGCTAATTAGGATTTGTTAAAACAGCTTACTCTAAGGTGTAAACTCCAGCAGAGACTATAGGGAAAATGTCACAACATTGTGGTTTGGGCTTTGGTTAGGAAAAAACAGCCCCTGAGTGTGAGTATGCAAGTGTAAAGTAGAGAAAAAGCTTTTACCGGCTCTTTATCTGGGCAGAAAACCACGTCATTCTTATCCGTTCCAGGGGAAGAAACAACAAGAACCAAAAAGTTTGAAATGCAGAGTCTAGTCCCTTGAGTACATAAAGATATCTATAACTGCTAGTGGCCAGTTGCAGACAAGATACCAGCATAAACAGGCTGTGATGTGACTCCATATAGCAGCAAAAACGTAGCATTCCAGATTTGTTGATTTGTGATTATCATCAACATATTATTAACACACAAGAGAGACTTAAATGCCAGATCTGCAATTGGTGTGTTTGCTCTTCAGATCTAAGTTTAAATCTGTACAGAAATTTGAATGATCTGGCAAAACTTGGGCTCTCTTTCACAGTGCATTCTAGGCAATAAAGTCTTGAAATCAGATGCACAGAAGCATCTTGAAGCATCTGATGTACAGCAGTATTCATCTGCTTCTGAGAAACAGAACTTTTAAAGAACTTTTGTGAATGTGCTGGAATGAAAAAACTTGATCTTGAAACCATGATCTAAAATCCCTATTAGAAATTAGATGTAATAATGAAGAAAGATTTGATTTTCAAGTCACTGGCTGCAACTGTGTATTATGGTAAAGAAGTTCCAGGTAAGCTACAGTCATGAATCATCCATTTCCCTGTGAAATACAAATCTGATGGCGTTAGCTGGAAGATAGAGGAAATAGGAAGCATGGTCTATCCCACTAGTGTGTGGATATCAGTAAAACTCAGTCACATGTTGGGCCATTCCAAGAACAGTTCCTAGGCTCATGTGATTTCCTACAAAGTAACTTCTGCTGCAAAAGCAAAGCTGGTGGGTTTCAATTCAGAATTATATGACTAAAAACTGTCCACTACCATGAGACACCATGAGAGAACTTAGAAGTTTTCTAAGGCAAAGACAAAAACACTCTTTTAGAGAGAAAAGTAGGACTGAAGCAAACGTGCCAAAAGGCCTACCAAGAGTCACTTGGTAGTGACTGAGGCACAGAGGCACTACCATGGATATTAAGGGCAAACTGGGATGTCAGAACATTAAAAAGGAAGATACAGTTGGAGAAAGAAAAAGAGGCGAGGCCTGACAAAGACTGTAGAAAGAAACGCCTTCATGCAAGCATGATAGCCAGATGTCGAATGGCAGAAGCAATTATACGTTGCATTCATAGTTAAGCAACAGAAACAAAACTCTGTATTCAGCACCTTTAGATGGAATGAAGCTTTGCCATTATTTCTTATCACTTCAGCCAGTATTACATGTCCACACATTTCATTTTACTGAAGGCGAGCCTGATAAGAGTTTTAAAACGGGGCATTACCATAAAATAGATCAGAGAAGATCTTTTTGATAGCACAGGACAATGAGCTTAAATCCAGATTCCATTTGCAGTTTAAAGCACAATCCCAAACTATGACACCATTTGCTAAAATATCAGCTGCAGTTAAGCTACAAGAGGAAAAAAAAAGTTTTAAAGTAAAGATGCTGACAGGGAGCTAAAACTGATTGTCTAACTTATGAGTAGTCTCAGAATTGACTCAATGAGCTTTTTTCCACCCCCCTCCCCACCAAATTCAGCTCTTCAAAATACCAGCTAGCATTCATCAATGCACTCTTTATTTAGCTACTTGTACGAACATCCAACTCTTCAGAGACAATTTACATTCAGAATCCAGCAAAAAAAATCATAAAAAGCCAAAGAAACTAAGAAGTTTAATTGCAATGCAGATACGAGTTTTATGATATAAGCAAAAATTCTTTGAAAAGGAAAAAAAAAAAAGAAATAGATCAAAAACTGTCCAGAAGCAGACAGTAGACTAGACAGCAGAAGAAAGATGGCACCATAAAGACTCTAAACTTTATTGGAATTTATGCTTTTTGAAAGGATTATATTTCAGTAAGGTTTATTATAGTGTAGTTTCTACTTTAAAAGCTCGTTTAGATGCTCAACTTTCTTATCTTGGAAATGTTTTATTATTACTAACAATGTATTTAAAAGAGACTCATTCCATATATTCTAGTCGGAAACAATTTAACAGCTATTCAAAACACAAACCTGGCATTTCAACATTTACAGCTTTAGAAAGTGAACTACAATTTAAAAAGACAATCATCAAATTTGCCTTAGAATCAAAGGACATGTGCAGTTCAAAACCCAATCATTATTCAAGAAGATCCAAATCTCATCAAAAAGGTAAATGACAACACACACCAACTAAAGCAGAAGTGTATTTATAAAAATGCTTTCCCTTCAGAAAAACACAGTTATGTTTACTTGTAAACTCTCCCTCATCTTTTTGTCAAAATACACTTAGTGGCACTATCTCCCCAAGAATGAGTGTTTTCCATACAATTAAGGAATAGCCATAAGAAAGAAATATTGAAACACATTAATAATGAATGCCAACATAAAACATTTATGCAAGTCAATATATTCAAGTGCTTTATATGAACTATTCTATAGTCAGTCTTACCTCCTGCAACTTGCCCTGAATCCACTGACCAACCATTGCCAAACTATCACGAGGACAGATGGCCCAAATCATAGTGAGAAAGATGAGAGATAAAAAATCCAAGAAGTGAACCAGACTGGCCTTCTCCGCCTGAAAACAAAACAGTCCAGTTTTCATTCCTTTCCAAGTTTTTTTTTAATATATAGTTCGGAAACTTAATAAAATTGCTCTTTGAAGAGCAGTCAAACAGAAACTCTGCTTGGCAGCAATAGGAGAGGTCTTAATTAGAAGTAAATACAAGTAATTAAAGAATTTTAGAAAAATTTATTTAAATACTTACTGCATGTTCCAGCACAGCATGAGCTATCTCATGTCCCAAAATGAAAGACAACTGGTGAATATCAGAAACTGCATTTAGCAACCCTGTGAAAACAAATACTTGTCCATTCTGTAAACAAAAAGGAAAGAAAAAAGTGACATTTTATGTAGAATATATACAAATAAAATGTTATTTCAATATTGCTAATAATTTTTGCATTGGGGTCCAACTTACCGGAAGCACAAAAGCATTTACACCTGGTTCTTCAACCACATGGACAACCCACTTCTGCTCAGAGATCTGTGGGATGTCCTTATTGCTTTCAGATAAGTGACCAACCA